TAAAAAAGTTGTTTACGCGTACTGAAAAGATCTTCTATTTGGAGAGCATCCACGGTTTAAAACGGAAACAGGGAACAGCTTTCGAAGCAGAGGAAAGTGAGGGAATGAGAGAGAGAGAGAGAAATCCAAATAGGTGGAAATAAAAACAGATGCATACGGAGAGAGAGAGAGAGAGAGAAATCCAAATAGGTGGAAATAAAAACAGATGCATACGGAGAGAGAGAGAGAGAAATCCAAATAGGTGGAAATAAAAACAGATGCATACGGAGAGAGAGAGAGAGAAATCCAAATAGGTGGAAATAAAAACAGATGCATACGGAGAGAGAGAGAGAGAGAAATCCAAATAGGTGGAAATAAAAACAGATGCATACGGAGAGAGAGAGAGAGAAATCCAAATAGGTGGAAATAAAAACAGATGCATACGGAGAGAGAGAGAGAGAAATCCAAATAGGTGGAAATAAAAACAGATGCATACGGAGAGAGAGAGAGAGAAATCCAAATAGGTGGAAATAAAAACAGATGCATACGGAGAGAGAGAGAGAGAGAGAGAGAGAGAGAAATCCAAATAGGTGGAAATAAAAACAGATGCATACGGAGAGAGAGAGAGAGAAATCCAAATAGGTGGAAATAAAAACAGATGCATACGGAGAGAGAGAGAGAGAAATCCAAATAGGTGGAAATAAAAACAGATGCATACGGAGAGAGAGAGAGAGAGAGAGAGAGAAATCCAAATAGGTGGAAATAAAAACAGATGCATACGGAGAGAGAGAGAGAGAGAGAGAGAGAGAGAGAGAGAGAGAGAGAAATCCAAATAGGTGGAAATAAAAACAGATGCATACGGAGAGAGAGAGAGAGAGAGAGAGAGAGAGAGAGAGAAATCCAAATAGGTGGAAATAAAAACAGATGCATACGGAGAGAGAGAGAGAGAAATCCAAATAGGTGGAAATAAAAACAGATGCATACGGAGAGAGAGAGAGAGAGAGAGAGAGAGAGAGAGAGAGAGAAATCCAAATAGGTGGAAATAAAAACAGATGCATACGGAGAGAGAGAGAGAGAAATCCAAATAGGTGGAAATAAAAACAGATGCATACGGAGAGAGAGAGAGAGAGAGAAATCCAAATAGGTGGAAATAAAAACAGATGCATACGGAGAGAGAGAGAGAGAAATCCAAATAGATCCAAATAGGTGGAAATAAAAACAGATGCATACGGAGAGAGAGAGAGAGAGGGTGTGGGTTGAGAGAAAGATCAAGAGAAAATGAAGGATGGAGGGAAGGAGAGACACAGAGAGAGCAGAGGACTCGTCGAGGTTCAGTTCACGGCTTATAACTCGCTTAGAGAATACTGGAATTCTGTCCTAAAAGGCTCCCGGGCTCTTTCTTTGCAAACACACACACACACACACACACACACACACATATATATATATATATATATATATATATAATATTGTATATACATACACACACACACACACACACACACACACACATATATATATATATATATATATATATATATATATATATATATATACATATATATATATATATATATATATATATATATATATATATATATTATACACACAGACACACACATATATGTGTATATATATATTACATATTTCAATATAGATATATGTGTATATATATATTACATATTTCAATATAGATATATGTGTATATATATATTACATATTTCAATATAGATATATGTGCATCTGTATCTATTTAACGTTCTATTTATCTGTCTACATATCTACATATGTACCTATTCCTGTGCCTATCTACCTACCCACCTCTACATCAGTCTATTAATATATATTTATACAGATAACGGTCTGTTATTTGCAGCAACAGTGAAGGAGAAAAGCAATCCGGAGTAACTTTTCATGATCCTCTGAGATTAAGTCAGGTTTTGCTTTTTACAGGAACTAATGAAGGTGACTGAATCTGTTGTTTCACTACTCATGGCTCTAAAGCTAAATCGGTGTTGTTATAGACTTCTTTTAGGCGTTATACACTAGATATAGTATTTAATGAAGCGTTTATGCGTGTTCACACTATATATATGTGTGTTTGTGTATTGTACGTATATACATACAAACATAACCGTACATACATATATATATGAGATTGTAACTTTTTCGAATCTTGATAAGTTTAAGAGATGAAATCAAAAAGACAAAAACTTACTTAACATATAGTACTGTAATCTCTCACAATAGCAATACTGTAAAGGTCATGAGAGCAAAAGATATTAGAAACAGGGAATCTAGTGTAAACATAAAAAGTCCTCTGATAACAACCGGGGCAGCAGGTGGGACAAATGCTATTACGTCGAAATAGGACGTGGTTCTTTTACCTGAACTAACAAACATCGAGGAGACGTGCGCCTTGAAAGAAAAGAAAAGAAAAAATATCCAACGTATTGTTGATACGCGTCAATGAGACATGTCATCTACCCCATTCAAAGAAAGTAAAATATGACACCAAATTCCGGTGTTTTTGTAGCTTTGTGTTGTACTCATTTTAGATGATGACTGTGTATTGAAAACGTGTCTTGGAAAATTAATAACATTATAGCAAAATGTTATAATGAAATACTTATATACATATATGTATATATATACATAAATAAATATATATATATATATATATATATATATATATGTATATATATATATATATGTATATACATATATATACATATATATATATATATATATATATATATATATATATATATATATATATATATATATATATATATAATCATAGATAAATAAACAAACACACACACGCATATATATATATATATATATATATATATATATATATATATATATATATATATATATATAATCATAGATAAATAAACAGACACACACACGCATATATATATATATATATATATATATATATATATATATATATATATATATATATATATATATACACACACACACACACACGTATGTGTATATATATATATATATATATATATATATATATATATATATATATATATATACATATATATACAGATGCAGAGACAGACAGATAGACAGTCAGAGAGCACGACAATTAATTTTGAGTGAACTGAAACAGACTACCTAACTGGTAATTCATTTAACCAATTTCCACTCAGATCGTTAACAGAAATCGATGAGTGATGGATAGTTCTCCTTTCCGGACTCAGAAATATCTACGATGGAAAACACTGTGAGAGTATCTATCGAATTTACCTCGACTGTTGAGAACATCATCGAAAACCTGCAGAATTCGATTATCAGAAATTTGATCCAAAATACATAGCAAATAAAACCCTATATATATGGAAATTCCATATACATACTATGCATCTATGTTGATATACATACATATATATCTATATAGATGTATATGTGCGCACGCGTACACATACACAAATACTGACTTCGGCGTAGCTTGTTATGAATCACAATTTTTAAATGTAAGGCTTAAAAGCTGTAACAATGTTTATTATGCTTCCCATGTGAACAAAGTGGTGAGATCTATTTAACTTCGAGTTCATTAGGTGACGAAAGTTTTCATTAACTTTAACGGCGGGACTTCAGGCGCTTTCAAGATAAACCTACGTGGACGTTTCTGAAGCGTGGAACGTTATGAGATTATATGACTGTGGTTATAATTTTCGCTCGTATACTAATATAGCATTACTTTTGTTTTTCTTCGGCCGGACTTTGCATATCTATTTTTTACACAGATTTCTTATATTTCTTATACATTTTAGACAAAAAGTAGCCTTAATAATGAAAATCAATATACTTTTCTTTCTATATATATATATACACATATATATCCTATAAATAATTAATTCATCTAAAAATTGCTGATACACATGCATGCCACTTGTATTGCACATATTTCAAAGGAAACAGATTTCCAATATTCAGCATACTCATTAATAATGAGCAACAACATTAGTTTAATGGTAACATTATCGTGCTCTATGTCCCTTTTATGCCTGTGGTTTTCATAAATAATTTTTTATTTAAACTTAGTATATTATTGTTGCTCATTTCGCCTCTCTTTTCTATATATTCTTGAATATATCTACGTGATATTTTATTAACTTTTCATATATCTTCTTTCTATCAATTACCAACACATATTCTGTTCGTCTGTGTAGACTATATCAACGGTGAGATAATCTTTTTCAGCGCATACTGATAATCAAGTTACAGGATTTTATCATCGTTATCGCCGTCCACCACCACCATCAGCAACACCGCCTCATCTTCATCCTTCTCCACCATTTCTCATCGTTCATCATTTCATTTAAAAAAGTTATAATCATTATTGCTATTCCAACTACTATTGGTTATACTGAGGGCCAGCCATGCTGCACACAAGATTAGGGTAAAGTGAACATATGAAGGTTTTTGGGTGCAATTCATCGTCTTCTCTTCATATATTGCAAATTGTTCATCATTGCGCAACAGCTTAATTGAATATCAACTTTATTTCTTCTAAATAAAACTCGAATTTCCCGCGTCCTGCACTCAAATATCTTCCGATAAATAAAACGTCCGTCATCACAGACCTCGTCTTTCCGCTTCAAAATCCCTACAATACAAGTGTCCTTATTCCCCATCCATTCAGTCAACCGCGTCCTCTAGGAATGAAAGACTGAATTCCTTCATCAAAGTACGGTTGCCTAGCCTTCTCTGGATCTTGATTTAATCTCTGTCTTTGTCGTCCCTTCATAGAACTCCCTTCACAGAACTTTGCGCTGTAGTTTCATTCACTCTCAGTTTTCATCCATCAATGCACCTTTGATCCTTTATGTACCGTGATGTTTCTCTGCTAGGAAGCAGGACGATTATGCTAAAGTTTTCTTCCTCTTGTGTACTATGTATATAACACGTGCACGAAGAAAGTGAATGGTATGCCTTTGTCTGTTGCAATGCTGTCCGTTACTTGCACAAAAACTCGTTTGTAGGATATTTTGTTTTTAAGCACGACATTGTGCTAACTGGTTGTGCTTAATTTCAATACAGTCAACTACGCATTCAATTACGCGTTATAGGAAGTTTGTGTTGTAACATTTGTTATATGTACCTCGCCCACTCTGTTCATTCTTCCTTTCTTATTTTGTTCAATCATCTTATTTTATCTATCATGTGATTCATTTGCTATGTGATTTTGGCATCTATCAATTCGTTTAACACCTGACTTTCATCTGTTATAATACTAGCTCCTCTTGCTGCTAAATTTTAACCGTGTAAGATCAAACACTTTTTTCTTTGTCTCTTTTTATGAGTAAAATTTTCGTCCTTTCATATCTTTTCATTTAGTCTCACTAAAATACATGAAATGAACTGCGAAGCTTACGAATTAAGTCACGCGCTGAACACGGCACATAATTATGAGTTCAAAATATGAGCAAAGGATAAGGAGTAAAACGAAGGGACTGTGAGAAGTGCAGTATGAAAGTAATAACAAGAATGGTACAAGACCCAACAGAACCTAGATGGAGAGAGAGAGAGAGCGAGCGGTCACCGAATATTTTTTTAAATGGGTGTGATGAAAACACCGTTGCCTGATTTCCAGTGACATTATTGTCGTTATATTGGCATTAGACACATTTTACAGATAGCATTATTTTGCAATGAGTGACTAGCCCATCGGACCCTTTTTCCACAGACCAATTCATTAGTAGTTTGAAGTCGATAAAATAGAGGCAAAAGTTCACACATAAAAGCAGTTTGATCCTGTAATTGATTAAATGATTGAGTATATGTAGTACACTTTTCAATATTACTAAATCCTTTTGATGTATTTGCTTATTTTAAACTTTAACAGGAACAGCTGAAAACGGGAAAGAGAGAGAGAAAAAAAAGTATGAATTTAATTCATATTTTATAAGCATTATGAAATATACGTATTTAGTTGTGTAGCCATATATATTTACAATATTTTCACAACCATATTATGTACGTACGATTTATACATTTATGTGAAGAGAATAACGCGTCATTATTGCGTTCACTCAAGATTATAATTTCCCGCAGCTTGTTACGAATTCGTTACAAAACTTAAAGGCAAGGATCACAGAGAGTAACAATCTTCAGGTACACTGGATGACGAATTCTTCTGAACTTTGCGTTTATTATCTGTTAACCATTACCTTCAACAGATTTTTAATTTTCTTTTAATTTTATGATAATGAAAAAATCAGTCAGCTGAGAATATCACTGGCTTACATCATTACGTAATTACACGATTACGTCATTTAGGGGGACATTTATCCCCAACCCCTAAGACACTGCCTTAAGATTTTGTTATTATAAAATTAGACATATAGGTCTGATTATAACTTAAAATACCCCCTTTTCTTCATTTTGCTTGCCTACCTTTGTCTCCATCCCCAAGCCCAAGAAAAAACAGAATTGGGTAATATATTTCATGTGTGTCATGGCATGCATTTATTTATGGCATATTCATTTTGTTTTCGAATTCCTATTGATTTCTTTTACTCTTTAGTAGAACTTCTATCGAAAGTAAGTAATCTTGATAAGCAAAATACCTTTCTATAAAGTACTAATGATTTTCTGTAGGTTAAATTAAGATTAGTCGATATGCACCATAATGGTACCATGGATAATCGTGAATAATTATGGTACCATCGTGTTGGCGGTATCGTTATTATGCTTCACAGTGTAAATAATTCAGTATTTCTGATGCTGAATGTTCTGAAATAATTTGCGATGAATTCTAAAACTACTCTTTTCCATAAGGTGACGCATAATTTCTTGATCATGACGGAGGTCCAGACATCAGCTTTGATAATGATCATCGAATTGTAGATTTTATCATCTTCATATCAACACTGCTAAGATGTCTTCTACTACATTTTTATATATATATATATATTTCTTGCGTTAGAGAAAGTCCCATTTCGCAGCACTTTCCATACCGCCTTCAAGTTCCCTTTTCATTCCTCATTCGCCATCCCTTTAGTCAAGCAGGGATCCTCAGTTCTTTTAGTCTTGTCATCTCTGGATATGGATTTAGTCTCTGTTGTCTCATACTTCACAGAACTCCATGAAGTAGAATTTCATTCACTCTCAAGTTTCATCCATTACTGTGTCTTTAATTAGTTAAGCACCAGGATATTATTTTGTAAGAAAATGATTATGGAAAAGTTTTCTATTCCCACGCACTGCGCCTTTAATACATGAACGGTGAAAAAAGTTGTATATAAGTTTTTCAATGGTTAAATATCTGTATACTGTGTACAGAACAGCATATTAAGTTCTTGAATTCCTTGCTATAGCAACTGACAGGAAGTGAAAAGTTACGTAACATCACACAATCAAATTTTCCCTCTATTTTACACAAATAACAAACTATACAATAAAATAAAAATAAAAATAAAGACATATGACTTATCTTATTCCACCGTTCATGTATTAAATGCATAGTACAAGGGGGTAGAAAGCTCTTGTATAAAATTTCTTTCGGAGGAATATCGCGATGCTTAAATTATTCATAGGCACAGTGATGGATGAAAACGGAGGGTTAATGAATTCTTTACAGAGCGGGGGTCTGTAAAAGATGTCCTGTGGTATACGAGACGCCAAGGCAACAGTGACGAAGGAATTGAGGGTTTTCCTGCAGGACGCAATACCTGCTTGTTGACTATGAATTTCATAACACGTTACAGTGACTCAAAAACAGTGTGCGATAATTTTCAGATGCATAACTCCTGCTCTCTTAACACACACACACACACACACACACATATATATATATATTTTCTTTTCTTTGTTTCCTAAAATGTCTATAGTTAATCTAGTGTTAGATTAGCAGGTGGATCGCAAGGCCTTTGAGAAAAAAAAAAAAAAAAATCATAGGCTGTTTGCGAAGCGCTCACAATGAGAATATATCATAAAAGCCAAGTCTAAAATAAATATTCATTCTGTATGTGTCATTGATTACAACCATATGATAAGAAAAAAAATCGGAATGGCTGATTTCGGGTAGTTGTGTCAGAGCTTTGCAAAATTGTTTGCCAGTTGGGAGACCCTCGAAACCCAAGTTATAGGTTCGTGGGTTCAAATCCCTTGCTCAAATGCGTATTTTTGGCGAGAAAACACATTTCCTTATACTGTTAAGCATGCAAGTTACTGTCGTTTTTGAAGTTTTAGCGCCAGTGCTCAGTAGGGGAATTCATTTAAGGTACGTTAATGGGTGTCAGTAAGTTTAGCTAGTACTAGGTATGAAAAGTAAATTAGAGCCAGTTTAGAAAGGCAAGTAAAATGAGTGCGCCAAATAAGGTATAATAAGCAGGCCTTAATAATAAGGAAGGTGCTCGGTAAGAGAAGTCAGTGCAAGTATGTAAAGATGACGTTGTGTATTTCTAATAAATGGGTGCTAGGTAAATCAGGTGTGTACCATGTAAGGATAATTGACGCCTGTTAAGGTGAGTAACGCGAGAATACTAAGGTAAGGTAAATGACCATCAGTTAAAGCAAATAAAATGAACATCAGATAAGTAAGGTGAGTGCTTGGCAAGGCAAGTGACTGCGAAGTAAAGTATATAACATAAGTGAGTGCCAGGTAAGTACTGGATGAAACGTGAGTGCCAGGTAAGTAAAATAAATGAGCATCAGGTGAGTGTCAGGTAATTAATAGGTGAAACGTGAGTACCGGGTAAGTAAAATAAATGAGTACCAGGTAAGGAATGGATGAAACGTGAGTGCTAGTTAAGTAAAATAGATGAGTGCCAGGTAAGTAATGGACGAAACGTGAGTGCCAGGTAAGTAATGGATGAAACGTGAGTGCCAGGTAAGTAATGGATGAAACGTGAGTGTCAGGTAAGTAATGGATGAAACGTGAGTGCCAGGTAAGTAACGGATAAAACGTGAGTGCCGGGCAAGTAAAATAAATGAGCACCAGGCGAATGCGATGCAAGTAAAATAAATGAGTGCTTGGTAAGTAAAGGATGGAAAGTGAGTAACAGGTAAGTAATGGCGGTATGTGCCAGTTAAGGAGAATACATGAGCGACAGATCATTAAAGAAAATGGGTGCAGAGTAAGGTAAATATCCCTTGTAGTTTCTTTTTGCAGAATGGTTCCCACTTGGTGAGTCGCTAGTAACCCTTTCACCCCGGATTTATGTTCTGTCCCCTGTAGTTTCTGGTGAATTTTGTTACATACAGATGGTTTCACATGTGCTCAGCCGGCAAGGAGTCTATCAGTAGGTCCTAGTTACCGATCCTGATTTTCCCATTCATTGAATTGACGGGAAAATTAATACCATTGCTATCGATACTGTTATTACCGTTACTGATGTTATGATTATTAAATTGTAATTAGAATATTTTAGACAATGAAATGATACAAAAAAAAACTTTCCTAAAGTGAAGGAAAAGGGTAAACAGGTGAAATAGGTAGTTCTTGATAACTGGCTATTTGGTGATTAAGAACTTGTGGAGCCATCTATGTGTAAATACAATAAATAAACGTGTATCAAAGTGGGCATGGTATCTCTTCTTGCCACGGGGGCGAATGGGTCAACAGATAGGTAGCAAAGCCTTGATGGAGAAATAGTGAAGGCAAGTTAAGGTTCCGTAAATGTTCATAAAATAGAATACAACATAAAGCCTTTTTTTAAATCTAAATTTGGTAAATTAAGTACGGCAAGTAATCAAAGATTTTGTGCACTCCAAATATATGAGTGCCAGGTAACAATATTGAGCGCCATTTAAGGAGAGTAAGGTGAGTGTATATAAAAAAAAATAGAATAAATAAATTAGCTCCAAGTAAAGCAAATAAATTGAAAATCAGGTAAAGTGAGTGATTGGCAAGGAAAATGACTACTAGTTAAGTGAAGTATATAAGTGCCAGGTATGTAAGAGAGGAAACATGAGTACCAGGTGAGTAATGGATAAACCATGAGTGCCAGGTAACATAAATGAGTACCAGGCCACAAAAAAAAAAGGGTGATCATCCATATCTAATAGATATTCAAAGTTTGGTATATTAAGATTACAGATTTTTTTTCTTTCTTTCGTCGAGACAGAGGGCCTGATACTAAGGGATCACAAATTTATCGTAGGACTGTGAAAGGGGTCACGAGTGTACCTGAAGTTCGTTTGTTCTTTTTATGCCGTTTATTAAACTTTTTCCTCTTTCCGTGTCTATGTCGGGAATGGTATATAACCAACGAAAACGTTTAGTTTGAAATATGAGTTCTTAAATTATAGTAGTAAGGTGCATTATTTCAAGGTAAAATATGAATCATATATGTAAATGTAAATTTCAAGGTTTTCTCATCTGATTCATTGTTTACATGGTTTCCCTATGGAATTTATGAATGATTAATTACCCAGTTGCTTAATGACTTGTTTATGTTGACTAGTAAGAGGTCCGGAATGCACACTCGGGTCCCATAGAGTGATCTCAATAAAATAATTTCAAGATTTACAGACAAGTCGTCAGAGATAGAGTCAAGGAGGACTGTTAATTGAGCATATCCCAGGTCGGTATTCATGTGTTAAAAAAATAATAAATAAATAAATAAATAAAAACACTTAAAAGCATGAACTAACATGGTTCCATTACATTCTATATCTTGACGAAAAATTTGGACCAATCTTTTAATATGTATATGTGAGATAATTTAAGATTCATAAGTGATTGATGAGCTAACAATGTTGTTTGTGATTAGATGTATTCTATATTGATGAAAGCTATTTAGTATAAGATATTTGGTATATTGAATTTTGAATATCTTTTGAAAGGAACTTTGAATACTTACTTTGGTTAAACGGAAAAATATTAAATGTTAAATAGATGTAATTCTATGATCTGCTCCATCACTGTCAGTACTCTCAATCTGTCGACATATATATATATAGAGAGAGAGAGGAGGAACGTCCTTAACAACCAAGTATGTGTCCACGAAGATTACCAATAAAGCAACTATAGTTTAAAAGACTGGTTTAGTATCTAGGAAGGAGAGAACATTGTGAATACTCAAACTTCTTGAAATTTTTGAAGGAAGATTCCTTTTTTCTTAAAATATAAAAATGCAATTCCTTGGAAATTCAAACATATATATCTGAAAGGCAGTAAAATAAGCGATGGAATTGTACTTATAACGAAATTATATATATATGTATATATAATATATATACATATGTATGATATATATAAACATATATATATATAATATATATACATATATATGTATAATATATATATATATATATATGTATAATATATATACATATATATATATATATATATATATATATATATATATATTACACACACATATATATATATATGTGTGTGTGTGTGTGTGTGCATAATGTATTTACATATATACGTAAATGTATATACACATACACACACGACAAACTCTGAAGCCTGAGAATCAGGCGTAGAAACATTATTTTTTACATCAAATAAAAATCAGTTTGGGCCTTTCGCAAATCTTGTTGTCGACTTTTGAATTCTAAATTTATTTTAATTATCTACACATAAATAGTTTAACGGCTTCAAAATACACACTTTTCACTCATTACACTGTAGGTGGCAGGCTTTGCTCAGGTACAGTTGTGAAATCAGAGAAACCTGCTGCTGATAATAGCCGTTTTAGCAAGTTTTGTGATTTGAATAATTATAAGTTTTTAAGATCACTTCCTCCATCAGATCTTATTCCTATTGTAAATATTTGTAAAATTGTCTCAACTAATCATCGTTAGAGACCGCTTTCTCGCGGAATATTACATATTACATAAGTATTGCTAGATAAAAATGATAATCTCCAGACTTGTGGTGCCTCGGATGGGAATGTGTGGAACTGTACATGCCATGCCCACGGTGAAAATAGTTTATCAATTGTACTGACACATACTGTATGCGACTCATCAAGTATTTAGTCACCAAGGATTCTACTAATCCAACCTATCCCACCATTTTCCTTGATTTCGGAAATATTTTATTTGATAGTCATTATATAGATAATGATACTGAAAATGACAACACCATTGATAACAGCATCGATATTGATAGCAGTAGTACACTCAAGGAAGGGGGAAACCAAATTAGGTGGCTGACCACTTGTAGAGTTATCTTTGTGTATATATACTTTACAAATCATTTGTACAGTAAACATCGCATTTTCCCAGGAGCACTGGGTTAATTATTTGATGCCTTCATTATTCTTTCCTTGATAGTCGGAGAATAAAGCAGGAAATCTTCACTAAAACTGAAATCTCCGTACGGAAAATATAACCGAAGAGATTGAAATAAGTGAAGTCTTGGTAAGATAAATTGGAGATTAAAGTATGTACTGTAAACGGCGTTAATGTTATTATTTAATGATAATGATAATAATAAAGGCTTCAAAGATTATAGGACAGGTATTATGAGAAGTGTACAATAAAGATAATGATAAATGTTAATGTCACAATACGAGAATAAGAGAAAGACCTTTCTTTGAGGTTACCGTGGGTTTCATCTTGCTGTTAATTTGATTGTTTTAATGAAGTCCCGTTGAAAAATTCCCAGACAAATTATATCCCTTGATTTCTGCTATACTTTCCATTCGGTATATGCATATATATAAACAAATGTATAAATATATACAAATGTATGAATATGTGTACACACATATATTTATATTC